GCCCGCCCCCTCCTCCCCGCCCCAGCCAGCGCCGCTCGCCCCCTCCCCGGCCCCTGCTCCTGGCCCCCGCCGCGGGACGAGGAGGAGGGCTCCCCGCAGACAATGGACGAGCACCCAGGAGCCGGAGGAGGCGGTGGGATGGCGGCCGCCCCGAGACCACAGCAGCCGCCGCCGCAGGCGGGTGGGAACATGAACCTGCAGTCGGGTGGGGGCTGCGTGGGAGCTGGAGCCGGCGGAGGAGGAGGGCAACAGCCACAGCCCCAGGGCCCCGCGGCCCCGGCCGGTCAGGAGGCGGCGGGCCCCGCCGAGCTGTCCCGGCCCCAGCACTACACCATCCCGGGGATCCTGCACTACATCCAGCACGAGTGGGCTCGCTTCGAGATGGAGAGGGCGCACTGGGAGGTGGAGCGGGCCGAGCTCCAGGTACGGGGGGCGAGGGCGATCTGGGACTGGCCCGGCCGGCTCCGGGGCCGGGCCGCGCGCGGCATGCGGGGGCAGCGCTGCCCGGGCCAGCGGGCTCCGCGGGCCGGAGCCGCGGTGCGGGGCCCGGAGCGCGGCCGGGCAAGGGCGGGCGGGAGGGCGCTGCCGCCGCGCTGGGCTGTGACCCTCCTCCCCCTCCTCCCCGCCGCCGGGCGAGCTGCGCTGCGCCTTGACAGCTGTGCTGTGGTCGGCTCCCGCAGCACAATGACTCCGGGGCTCCTCGGCCCCGTGCGGGTTACCGACAGCCGGAGCCTCCGGGCCTGGGAGGGAGCACTGACACCTCCCCGCAGCTCAGCGAGCTCTGGCTTTGGAGGGAAAAGAGGGAGTTAGGAGGCGGCCCTGCTTCCCGGGCAAGGGCAGGACGAGGAAAAGGAGTTCAGGTAAATCGTCAGTAAAAGACTTAGCTAGGCATGTAATTAGAGATGGGTCGAATCTGTTCTCGCTTGCTGTCGGACTCGCTTCTTTGGAGATTTCATGTCGGAGAAGAGCGAGGAATCGATAAGTCTGCGGTGTGGTCATTTCAGTATACATGAAAATACCAGCTTCGTCTCGGGAGCGGAAATGGAATAACTTTTCAGGATAGAGAGCAAGTGTTGCAGTTGCAATATATATTTCTTGCCACTAATGTTTGCTTTTAGTAATGGGATAATTTTACTAATCATTTTTGCAAGTTAAAAAAACATGCATAGACCATTGCCAGTTTATGAACAGATTGCGAAATCCACTGAATGTGCGGTATCCACACAGGAGCCATTATCTTTTTATAGGACAGAAATGTACATAACAAAAATGTAAAAAAATATTAGCCGACTTTATTGCTTCCAGAAAAATTTTTTTGATTTTTTTACTGAGTCAGTGTTTATGGTCTTGAAGTAGCATTCCGTCAAATTGCACTGCAACAGCAGCCAGCGTTTGCAAGGCATTTACTTTCAGATTTCAGAACCAAGAAGTATGCCTGAGCCTGGGCAATTCTTTAGGAACTTCTTGGCTCTATAATAAGCATGTATTTTGCACTCTTTTTGCTACAACTATAATTAAGAAAGAATTAAAACCCAAAACCACCAAGGGAAACAGTTGAAGAGGTTTTACTGTTTCTTTCACTTACTCTAGGTCTTACCATTTTAAACCTCGTGAAATGGCTGAATTTAAAATCCATGGTGAACATAGGTGGGTGTTTTTAGCAGAGGGCAGTTGGCTGTTTCTCCTCTTTTCTTTAGCAACTTAGTGTTACAGCATTACGTTTTTAAGTAAGTTGTTTAGTGTTTTTCATCACCAGACAAAACCACCTTGAAATATTTGTTTTAGGTATGGGCTTGTTACTTTAAAACGAGGTGCTGCTGTAGCCTAACATGAAGAGCACTCCGGAGACTTGAAAAGTTGTGTCTGACTGATTAAGTGCTTCTCTGAACTCACATGGCCTCTAGACTCCCTGATGCACTCCTAGCCAACTCGGCTGCTTTTTGTTGTTGTCCATGGTCGTACCATTTCTTCTGCGAGTCTGTGGAGGTACAGTAGCAGTTCTGCCCCTGATCATGTATGTGTTGATTGACATACATGTGCAAATGCCATGGGACTGAGGCAGCAGAGTTGCTGCACAGTGCCTATACACAGGGGTGTTTTTGGTTATTTTTTTTAATAACTTTTTAAGCCCAGGGTAGATGTCGGGAAGGACATTACCCTTGGATTTTAGGTCTTAGCCTATACAGTAGTGAAAATTGATACAGGAATATGTTGTGAATATTTTTTGAAGATAGATGTTATTAGGTCTGTGGGGTTTTTGCTTGTTCTGCAGCTTAATTTGAGAAGTGACAGCGTATTTTGTTGCCAGTAAAATGAATAGTTTGGATCCCAAACAACAGTTTTGTCCCTTGAAGCTAATCAGAATGTTAATCATATGTCAAGTGTGAGTTTTTTGGTGATTGAGGCCTTCTGGGTTGAAAGGAAAACAGGAATTCCATAGCTTGGCAGTAGATAATTTATGTGGAAGTGGGTATTGGATGATTTACCTGCAACTCTCCTGATGCAATGCAGGTAATTTCATTCTTATTTCTTCTTTCTCTCAAGATGACAGTAAACTCTTTAAGTGGTGCTTCTCAGTGCTGGCCATCGCAAGTTCTTTATAACTTTGCTAACAATGCTTTATAAAAAGTGAAAAAACAAATTATTTACCAATGTATGTGATTTTATTTATGTGTTCTGAATAGAAGAATTTATTATTCCAAAGAAGAAGATACTTTTTTATCTGTGTAGGAATTAATGGGCCTCCTGTGTGGTTTATCCACCCACCCCTTTCTTTACCTGTGTAGTTCAAGTGGCTGGAGGAATTGGCATCCCTAGTAGGAGTGCTCCCTGCATAGAGGTGTGATTGTGAAGGCAGATAGGATCTGCAGTAACAGTTTATCCTTTCTGGATTCTTGTAATGACTTTTTTTGATTGTTGTTCTTCCACCTATGGGGCACAATTTTATAAATAAAGCATGTGTTACTTCATTGGGCTGGGGTTTATGCCATGGCTGTGATGACTGACAGAGGGTCTTGAGCCTTTTGGATCTGAAGTCTTGTACTGGTAGACTTAGATCTACATTTACATCAGGCTTTGAATCTAAAAGTTTTATGCTGTCTTTCCAACTCCTCAGGTGCATGCTGTTCTGCTTGTGTGCAGAAGTGAAGCAGCATATCATTACACAAATCTGTGTGTGCAAACCAGTATCAAGTACAGAAATGTCAAATATCGTGAGTGCAGTACTTGAACCATAGTACACTTCTTTCCTTTCCCTTGTAATACTGGCTGCTGCAGTGACTTCTCAAGCTTTCACTGGTTGCTGTGTTGAAAATAAGCTGTCTTGTTCACTGCATGTAATGGACACAATCTGTTCACTATTTAGTGAACTAAAAGCTTTTCACTGTAGCAATGTAACTTTGATCTGCCAGTCTAATGATCTTGATGTTGGTCAGTAATGACCAGCTGTTATGCTGAGATATATGGTCTTTCCTAAGACATGTATGCACTTAAGAGGAGTTATAGCAAGTCCATATTGAATGTTATGTATTTATTAGAAATAACCAGTTGTTCAAGGTGAGAAGTGGCTCCATAGTATCCTAAAAGAAAAGGAAATTTGGATGGGAAAACACCGTAGAGATGCGCAGAAGCTCTTTAAGGAAGATAAAGTTGTGTCAAAAAAGGAGTAGCATAGAAAAGGTTGTAACTTTGGGAGATGCACAATTGAGAGATCTTATGGGGCTTGCAGGCTGATAATACTTGTCTGGAATAGAAGTCTCAATTGTGCAGTTTATTCAGGTTTTCTGATGAAAACCAGATTGAATATTCTCTGATACTTCAGAATCACACAAGAATATGTTGGGACAGAATTGCCAGTAGATGCTGCTTCCAAATGCTTTAATGAATAGAAAGAATAATTAAGAAACATAAACACTCAGAACAAAATTTATGCAATTTCGCTTTACACATTATACAACCTCTCAAGTAACTTAGGTGTGCATAAAGATTACTATGACTATTAATACATTTTCTGTGCTATAACATGACATCTTTGGTGGTGCACCACTGAAGTTCCTAGTTTATCCTATTTTACAAATGCTTTTTCCCCAAAATATTTAGAGACATTATGGAAGCATATTTTCTAATATTATTTATTAGGTGTTTAAAAAATCCCAAACCACAAAAACCTATAGATTTAAGATTTTACTTGCATGCCTCCCCACTTCCCTTTCTGCTGGGGATGATGGAGCAGACTCATTGAAGGAATTTTATACAGGATGTTCTTTAAGAAAGAAATGTATCTTCAGATAACATATGTAAAAGTATTGATATTGTGAAAAAAAATGAGATCATGTTCAGAGTGTATATACAATCACGCTGTACTTCAGCATTTCCGAAGTGTAGCAAGAATCAATAGCTGAAATACTTACCTGTGTGTTCCTTGTTTTAGTTTGTTACAGGTTTGAAGGAGGAATGGGGATACTGTTGGGAAGGTTTCTCTCTTAAACTTGGAGGAACAATTAATTCTTTTCATAATAGACTTTGCCTTGCTTTTGGCTTGCAAATAGTTTGTTTTGATGATAGATTGCAAGTAGAAGTGGTTGTGAGGGTTATAGAATGGAAGCATATTTTCTAATATTGGCCACAGTCTGTTTCTCAGCAACTAGGGGGCATACGGTAAAAATAAATACCTTTTAAAAAACCCTGACTTTTCAGGA